AAAAAAAAGAAAGGAAAGAAAGAAACAAAACAAAAACCAAAAAAGACTTTTATTCACAAATATTGGTTTTCCCAATAATAATAATGCATATTGCTCTCTTCTCTCTCTTTCAACAAAATTAGAATTTCAATTTTAAAAATACTACCATTCAATTAATATTTTGAAAGAACAGGGCAATTTTAATGCAGTGACATTTAATTTTAAGTTAGAATTATTCATCTTTTATGAATTACGTGTTCGAACCTCACAAAGTTTTTTTTTCCTATTCTCTCATTTAATATGTAAATAATTGTAATATGTTAAAAAAATAATATTTTGAAAAATCACCCACTTTAATTAATATATTTTATTAATATCTATAAATCATACATGATAATTTTTTTTATTTTATGTCTTAAAATAATAAATATTTTTTTTATTTTGAATATGTCCTAAAATAATAGTAGTTTTTTAATATTTTAAAGGAGAGATATTTTTATACTACCTTATCCTTATCATTACTTATTAATTTTAATTATTCATTCTATTATAACAAGGTCTTTTTCTATTTACTGTCTTCTATAGAATTTAATTGTTTCACTTTATCTATTCAAGATTACTGAGAAATTCATTTATTACAATAGTTAAAATTTACCTTTCTATTTCCACTATTAATTATAATTATGTGAAAAAATCCTCATGTAGGAGTATCTTTTTTAAGATAAAGGTCAAATTGAAAAATTAACATTTAATGTATTATTAAAATAGAAAGTGAGATAACTAAATCAATTCATCCTTATTTAAAAAGTGGAACAACTAAATCCAAATGAAGAGAGAATTTCTTTTTTTAAGGGTAAAATAGATAAAAATAGAAATTATCCCCAAATCCTTAATAACAAGATAAAATATATTATTCTGAGATTGAGGAACTAAGTTGATTTAATATTTTTAATTATTTGGTGAAGAAACCTATTTTCTAAACTTTGTATTTAACCATACTAAATTTTTACCATCAATTAAATTAATGAAATGAAAAATAATTAGTATATCTTTTAATTCAACATCTCTGTTAATATTCTATCAGTTTAGTTATTAAAATTTATAATTGAAAGTTTTCATGTCTTGAATTCAAATTTAAAAATAATAATTTCTTATTAATGTGTTATAAAATACGTTGAATTAGAAAATGCATCAATTATATATTATATTAATTAAATATATTAAATTAATTAAAAAATTAATATCTATAATCTAAATAAATGAAACATTAAATCTAATTGTTTATGTTTCAAAGTATAAACTGACTTTTGCAAGTGAACACCAATTTTTTTTACGGGCCACAGTATTATAATTTCCCCTTCAATTAAAACTATAAATACACCAACAGCAAGACCAACCTGATCAGGATCCATTTCCAAAAGATATCAGTCATTTCAATCATATCTCTTGAGGACCCATGATTCGTTGCCATCAACGAATGAAAATTTTTCCAAAACAGCTAAATCGCCCCTACGAGGTTTTCATTAACCATCGAGGGATTGACACCAAGAAAACCATGACGGGACTGCTTTACAACCATCTAGTCCGCCATGGGCTCAACCCGTTTTTGGACAGCAAGAACATGAAGCCTGGTGATCGGTTGTTCGACAAAATCAACGATGCTGTTCGACACTGCAAGGTCGGGGTTGCTGTCTTGTCCCCGCGTTATTGTGAATCATACTTTTGTCTCCACGAGCTGGCTCTGATGATGGAAACTAGGAAGAAGGTCATTCCAATCTTTTACGACGTGAAACCGTCGCAGCTCCAGGTTAAGGACGACGGGTCTCGTCCAGTTGAGGAGCTGAAGAGGTTCCAATGGGCTCTTGAGGAGGCAAAATACACTGTTGGTCTCACATTTGACACATTAGCAGGGTTAGTATATACAACACATATAGATCGTGTTTGGTATTGGATGAGTTGGGAACAAGTTTGTGCAATAAAAAAAGAGATGTTATTATGTATTTCCTTTATTCTTTAATAGAAAATATATGACTATATGAGAATAATGGCCTTAACTAATTATAAAAAATTATGAATTTGTATATAATTTTCTGTATTGATGGTTCTTTCTTTTGATATTATAGGGATTTATCGGAATTCTTGACGATAACGACAGATGCAGTGATGAAGAACCTGCTGGAGATTGAAGAAAAAGAAGAAGAATATATACAAACAGAATAGGAAGCTATTATATACGAGAAAGCATGTCAATCAATCATGACTGTAGGGATGTTTCTTTCAGTTCTTAAGCATTTGACATTAATTACTGTAGGAAGAACAAAGAATAATGTGAATGTATATATGGAGTAGCATTTGATTAATGTAGCATGTACAAATTAAAAAGTGATCAAATGTGAACATAAATATATTTACAACCTTTGTGTAACATTTTCTTCTTTGGTGGAAAGAATAAAAATCCTAAATAAGGATAGAGATAAGTTATCGGTCTGAACAGAAGACAACCGTAAGCAGAAGGCTACATATCCCCCTTGCAGATACAACTAAAGTGCAATGGAGCAAACCTTGCAAAAAGATCTGCATAGCTACCGTACTCGAGGCTCTGCTTATGCTTAGTCAGAACCAAATCTAGGGCCAGCCGGGGTTCCTGGGGTTCCTGTTTTGTGATGACTGCTGCAGATTTTAGAAACTGAAGCCCAATTGGTGTCTAGAATTAATTCGTTTTTTGTCATTCAAGCTTAATTAAAGTTAAAAGATAAATGTTTAATGTTCTTTAATTTTCCAGCGTAATTTGGAGTTTATGTTTCAACACTGAAGATGCTATGCAATTTCCCAATTGAACTCCAAATCAAAATGAAAAACAAGAACTTATACATATATATATTATTTTATTTTATTTATTTGACTAATTAAGAAGTGTGCAAAAGGTTTATGATCTTCATCCCTTTTTGTCCATTGAACACAAATGTCTGGACGTTGTTTTTAGGTATTTTCAAAATTTGAGGGACTCAATATATATTTTTTTTCTTTTCATGGACCTTAATATTTTTGAATATCTTTATTATCATATCTAGACAAGTTTAGCCTATGTTTCAAAGGAGGACTTTTGCTTGGATAAGGGGGAAGATTACTAACACTATATTTCTCTTCTTCTATTGCAATTTCTCTAGTTTATGCACTCAAAAAGTTACTAGAAACTAGTTTTGTTGTCCATGTTGTCAACCCTCCCTGTTTTGATTTGGTTTGGAATGCCTTGATTGGTACTATCATATAATGTAATGTATTTTTGAGAACATTGGTGGAATATCCCTTATATTCCTTATTATGATAAACCTTTGATTCATCTAAATATATATATATATATATAGACAAGATAAGCCCAAGATGCACGTTTTGACCTTGTCTTATTGTTAATTTATGGTCATAGACAGAAATATACTAAGTTTGGAGTCCTCTTCATCGACTTCAACTTCTAACATTAAAAAATCTTGAGTAGGTATTGTCTTAGATTTGTTCAAATATCATGCAATAATAAATCATTTGTTTAGGATAAAAGTTCTCTTGACAGCGCACTGTTTTAAAATTCATTTAAGTCCCTAGCCTTTCTCTCACGGAACATGTTATTACTTGACATTCATTTCATTTCATGCAATCAATCGTTCCTAACCTTTCTAAAACTATTTCCATCTGTCCTGCTAAATTTTGAAATTTAACTGAATGCAGGCATTAATAAGTTTGAGGGTTTAATTTCGACTCACTTTAATGAGCCATGAAGATTAGAACAATACCACTTACAATCCTAGTGTATCAATAAATGAGTGAATAAATAGATATAATATTAAGAATAATTTCTTGAATAAAAAGAGTTAATCTTATAATAACATGTCAGATTATTAGTTTATGATGTTACGTGATATTATAGTTATATTATTTTGAAAAGAAATTTCATCTTCCAAACCTCATCTTCTGGGTAATTTGCTAGCTGAAGTGTTAGCTATAGGGGTCGGTGTGCAGACTGCAAGAATGGCGTTTGGATGAGAAAGACGTTCCAATGTGATTCACCCATAATAAATTGCTCAGCAGCGGAATAGGGAAAATGATGCCGCGCCTCCCCACCGACATTCCCAATTTCCAAGGGCCCACCCCATACGTTGACTCAGAAAAGAACTGTACTAAGATCCTATACCATCCATGCACTTCGTCCAATCGATTCTGATGGAGTAGATGTCTAGAGACTGGAGACGAATTCTTCGTTTGAATCGTTTCCGTGTGAACGGAAATGCCGTTCCGGTTGTTGAAGCTCGATGGACTCCAGGAAGGCTCTCACAACTGGATTGGTTGAAGTTGATACTGACATTACGTTAAGACATTTCAAAAAGCCAGTGGCGTACAATCTGACAGATGGTCGAATTAATACTGAAATAAGGACGAAATAAGAGTTCTGGGCTTAGCAAATTTTCTAATTCTAATTTCACCAAAAATTTTTTTTTTTTTCTAATTCTAAACATTAACAAGCTGAAGATTGATATTGGGCCGGGTCAACCATACTGTGGACGGCAGAGAGAGCTATAGACTTTATTTGAACGGCCTAACTATAAGAAAGCAGAATTTTAAAGGTAAGGGACAATCTTGATTAATTAAGGCTTAAAGAAAACATCCATAGACTTTAGTTGGACGGTCTATTTTTGGGTTTATGATGGGCATATTATTCGGCCGAAATTATTATTATTATTATTTTGAAAAGTAAAAGAAATTTATGATATTAATATGTGAGTATAAGGGATACTCTAACTCATAAACATCATCATATGAATAAACAAACAATAAAAGGGACCGGAAAACACAAAAATCACAAAACAAGCTTGTAAGCTCTATTTCCTATTAGTCATTCGGCCGAAATTATGATGGGCCTCTACCATACAATCTTATCTCTCTTTCTCTCTTTTTTTTCCTTTTAACAAAGATGAAATATACAAGCTTATGAGATTTGAGCATTTAAGTTATCATGAAAGTAAATTACTAAGGCTTTGTTTGTTGGTGTTATGTGTTGTTTTGTGATTATAGTTGTGCATTTTCTTGTCTTTTATTATCATAAAAATATATAAAATTTAATAATAATTTGTAAAAAGTATATAAAAATTAATTAACATGAAAATTAAGTATTTGGGTTTTAATATAAGGTTTAAATTTAATATAAAACTAATTAACTATAAGTGAAGCTGCCATTATTATATATATTTAACCCACATATGCGTTTTTGTTTCTTTTTAATATGAGATGTTCTCTCACTTAATATGCTTTCTTTACATATAGGTTTTGTGTGAACTTTAAGTCATCTCGCATGAATCTCAGGTTACGGACTTTTTTTTTTTTTTTTGTAAAGCGAAATATATCTATTGATTTGGAGTACAGGGGGTACTCCGAACCCTTTACAAACTTTAAACCAGGCCAGCTAAAGACCCCTACATCTTTAAGAGGTGGTGCCTGCCTTAGATTTACAAAAGCCTAGAATCACTTTAAACAACCTGAGACGGATTCAGGCAGCTTACTGGGTTAAGGATCCAGTCTGAGACAGTGAAGAGGCTTCCTCTCCTTTTGCCTTTGATCCATTTAAACGACCTCATCTGAACCAGCTCCAAAGTTCTGCTGGGCTCAATTTCTTTGCCTGTAAATAGCTTTTCATTTCTAGCTAACCATATTGACCAGATAACAGAGAACCAAATGCATTCCCAGCCCCCCCTCACCTCTTTGTTATTAAATATAAAGGGGTGTTGTTCAAACACACTCCCACAATCTCTATCTAGCACCTGCATACTACCCCACCACCTGTAGCAGCTATTCCATATCCTCAACGCAAAATTGCAATGAATAAAGAGGTGGTCAGAATCTTCACTTACAGAGCCACATATAATGCATTTACAGTCTGCCATGTCTTGTATGATTCCCCTCTTCAGCAGGTTCATCTTTGTTGGGATTTTATCTTGCAGCACTTGCCATACAAA